TTCAACGACACTGGTAACATTGTAGCTAAATCGAGAGTATCGATATACAATTTCGACATAACACCTCGCCAATTGCGTCTTCTTTGCTTCAGCTCTTGTGTGCCAAAACTGAGTTGCTGCCTTTCACGATCTTGAAAAGGCGGATACGCATGATCTAACTCCATTGGAAATAAAAACAAAAAATAAGTAGGACGTTACATTTCGGAAATTCAACAGCTGCACTGTGTTGTTTCTATATGCATTAAAACATTGTGTACTCACCGACGACTATATGGCAACGCACGTGGTCTTAAAAGATCACTTCAGTAACACTCCCAGCGCGATCAAAACCGTTTGAATAAAAACCAATCATGTGGGCACTATTATAAATCAATCTAAAACACCTGTTGTTAAGTTCTGTGCTGGCACTACACTGATTAACACTTTTTATAATTTGACTTTTTACAAAAAACAAAAGCTACATGATAAAATTGAATTTAAGGTAAGAATGCAATTGGAATTTTGCGTTAAATATAGATGTGATAATAAGTAGCAGTTCGATTAAATTCATATATATATTATGCAACGCAGATTTCTCAATTGACTTTTATCACGTATAAACTTTTGTATATAAAGTAAAATAAACTAAAACTATGAAATGAATTATAGTTAAACATGTATGTATCAGATAACTGTCATATTTCGACTAAGCTGCTTCACTGGTAAGAAATTTCCAGCTAGACATAGAAAAACCGACCTAAGCATCTGTCAGAGCCTTTCCCGTGCAAGCTTTAATTTGGTTTCAGTTCAAATACAGTAAGTTATTTCAATTATTATCAAATGCAATTTAGTTGCCTATTATATCGCTAGGATAGACATTGGTTGTTGGAAAGAAGGGACGCGCATATCGTCGTTGTTGACTTTATTTAAATTCGGTTAACTTTTGTCGCTTATTACAATACGAATTAATTTCTTTCGTATTCTGCGCCATAGTAGTGATTTCATTAGCATCGAGGCATGTTACACGCCTATACGAGAAACGCTGATCTCTGATTAGGGGTTCCCCGCCATCTCGAAGATCGTCAGCAACGACAACTGCGTCATCTAGCGGTTCATCTCTGCTCGAACATGAATGGTGTGCTATATATATTGTGGTCCGGCCGGTAGCGTCGTCACTAGGAATGTCGAGGGAATCAACTATTTCCTGCTATGAAGAGAGTCGTGATATAAAGTAGGGTCAATGTTATCAACGGAGGGAAAATTGTATGGAGTTTTTGCTGTATGCAGCCAACATGCATAAAATAAGCATGCATTTCTTTCTTTTATTGACCTTTTGCTGTTACAAGTTAAGGTAGGCCATTCTTGCGCGAATGGCGTGTAAATTCCAGCGTATATATGTTTGCTCTTTATTGTATGCAGCTTTTTATCGAATAAGTGTTCAGGTCATGCCTTAGTGCACCTTAGAGAAGCTGCGAGAGCTAATCATGAATGATGGAGGAACGAGCAGGGAATGAACGAGGCAACTTGTAAACCCAAATTACCGCATGTAAGCTCACTAAAGTAGAGGAAAGGTCGGCAAATGGCAAAATGTTTCTTTGGCATTATCATTTGGTGGACTCTTATCTGTTTTCGCACTCAAATAGCCGTTAGCGCTCTACTGTTTCATTTTATAACTGCTCACTAGTTGCGCTAGTAGTGGAACTTCTGAGATAAACCCTTCGGAGCCTCGAGGCCAAAATCTATCACAGACTGCTTTGTAAAAACAATTGACTCTGCAAGTAAGATGGCACCAGTGCTATGGGAAGTCTGCTTGTATTAAATGCAGCGTCAGATTATTGAACTTAGACTTAAATGTAAGAGATCAAAAACACAATCCTTTAGCCTGGAGTAACCAATTTTTATCTGCCCAGATCTTCCACCGGAACGCATTTTGAGCTAAACAAATTCTAAATTATATTCGCCGTTGCCCTCGTCGTTCCACCCACATTCGTCGCTGTCGCCGTCTGTTTTGTACAAATATATGAACACCGTTAATAAAGGGCATTGTTCAACCCAAATCAAAGAGGCGACAGATTTTATGCGGTAACCCCATTGACTTGCAGGACGTGTAAAGATTACAATCTTGAAGTGTTCGCGCCGGGCTGAGTGGAAACCTTGACAAAGACTGTAGAATATACGACACCATTTAGTAGATGGCTTTTGTTCCTGGATGTGTGCATGAAACTCTTTGCTACAATTCGAATACGGGTAATGATCAACGTCGCGAATATCACTAAACTCAGCATCACATCCCTGACAAACGTCGTTGAAATCGGGATTTGTGCGACACAGGCAGGCAGCAGTCATACTATGCTTCCGAGGGCCAAGGAATATATCCTTGAATAACTGTGGAACATCGACTTTTTTATACAAGGACGGTTCTAGGTCCAGAAAGATATATATGAACTGTCTGATTACTTAACCTGAGCTGAGATATTGTTTAAATTATTTCGATGACGGATGCAACACCTTTGCTGTAGCCTTTGTTGACCGTTGTGCTTCAAGAATTTGTTCACGCACAAGAATATAAACGTTTAAAAATTCAGGTATAACCGTGTGTATTTTTTCTTCTGCAAACTTCTGCAAGCTCTTCGTCACGTGCGAGTGCGTACGGTGCACTAAAGCCCAAGCTCGCTCTCGTTGATCTTTTTGCTCTCTGAGGGACTGACATGAATCGGCGCAATGTTTTCGAACGTTTTCGATTTGAATTGATAAAAACAGATGCGAGTTTTGTTGACAGGCTCAACAAATTCCACATCGTCCGCCCCAATAAGTTGCTGGCTGCTGTTAAGCATGCTTCAGTCATATGAGCGCATATAATAATAAAATCTAGCTTTTCAGTTTTCCATGACAGATAGCGCGCAGAGTACAAAGAGTAGAAAAAAGATTTTTGAAACGTGTATTCACATCAACTACACTGAGATAAACAGTGTTTGCGCCTACTGCTGCTTACCCAATGATTTTTCGCTACGCTGCTCTTGTGGTTAGCACGAAACATATGCAGATGCTATTGTTTCCAACTACCTTCTATTTAATAATGAATGAGTTCTCAAATTGGACCAAGAAGTGTATTTGAAGCTTTGTATGGAAAATAGAATTAATTGTACAGATATTCTGCAGATATTGTAGGGACCTTCAACAACCGAAAAACCCTGTCGTAGTTGGAGTAGGCATGACTGTACTACTACCCGAACTTCCTCGAGGTTTAGTGAGATCTTGTAAGCCCGAACCTAGCACGTTGCAAAAACACAAATTTAATGGTACCTCCCCATCATTATCTAATACCTTTGAAACTGTAAAAATAAATAAGTAAAGTAAGCTGTGTTACATTTTTTTCATTTCAAGCTCTTCGATTTGTACTGACTGCCAGTTTAATACATAAACAAGCCTTCCATTTATTTAGAATTCTGCTAGTTGTGTCACTCGCATGCGGTTAGCCTTTATATCAATTTCGACGTCTTCCGTTCGCTTGTTTCGTTAAAAAATTTAATTTCGTTAAAAACCCGACAGATCACGATGAAGCAAAAAGATAGTTAGGAATCAGATAATTATTTGCGGTAATTACGGAACTTCATATGTCTTTCTCTTCTTCGGAGCGCCACCAGTCACACGGAAACTTTTCATGTCGCGATTTCTTCCACAGTCGGTTTTTTGCGCTTACGCAAGACCAAATTACACAAATGTTTACAGAATTTCTATTAAATGCATTGTACCTAATTATTATTATTAAAATATTCATGTAATCGTGCCATTTTAATGAGGTCTATTAGTATCTTACCAGGTCGTACCATGGCAGACTTAATAACTTTTGTGCAACTAACATTTATGCCTGTAGAACGCGTCGCACAGAATGGGCCACCCAATTCACCGTCACGTTTAGCTCCACTAAATTGTTCCGTATAACCATAAAGAAACCGCAAGTAAAAGATAGACACAAAGCTATATAGAGTACATAACGAAAACTGATGCATGTCTCTCATGTAGACAACTAAAGGGATAATGTGGCCAACTGTTTTTGCGATCGTTTGTGGCTTTAACGGATCATTTTCAACAAAACTATTCGCAGATCCACCTTTGACTACAGAGACGAATTGAAACAACAGGGTCCTTTGTGATAGCTACAACATATTTGAAGCTTTTCCCCCGGATTTCTTAAACCTAGCATCTCCCGAAAGCAATATAAATGTTGTTGTTTCTGCTTTTCTGTGATTTCATTGTATCTGTACTCGTATACTCAATTGCTGTTATATTGTAGCCGTATAAATAATATCTTACGAACACAATCTGCTGAACTGATTGATGCGGCACTTTTACCTGCTATTTTATACCTACAGTGTCTATATAATTAATCACCAAGGTTAAAAATCAAATGTACTCTTTAAAAAAAGTTTATCTATTCATTGACAGTCGTTTATAGTACGTTACAAAGACATCATAGTTCCACTCGAATTAGAAATCCTAAGAATTAGAGAATGGACACAACACGTCGGGAAGATTGATCAAACCACTACTTTAAGCACACTTTTTAGATAGAAAAAATAATATCTACAACGAAAAGAAAACATGCTCAAACGTTTAGCATGTTTGTAGAAATTCATTAGTTTACGTGATCTTATAACTTGTATAAAAAAAAAACACCGGTAGTCCATGATAGATTTATTTACATATACAAGAAAATAAATTAGTTACTTAAATTAGGATGCTACTCAGCTGTAGAAAATAGCCTCCACATATTTCACGACCACTGTAGTGACACGCGAACAACAGTTAAATTTAGCGGCCGCTATATATATATATATATAGCGGCCGCTAAATTT